CTACCTGGGCTTCCCTGGTGGCGCAGTGCTTGAGGGTCCGCCTGCCGATGCAGGGGACGCGGGTTCGTGCCCCGTTTCGGGAGGATCCCACGTGCCGCGGAGCGGCTGGGCCCGTGGGCCGTGGCCGCTGGGCCTGCGCGTCCGGAGCCTGTGCTCCGCAAATGGGAGAGGCCACAACAGTGAGAGGCCCCAGATTATTTGCCTACACTATCCAATTTTTTAAAAAATGACTTGCTAGTCCACTTCATTTTAATTGTAAATTCATGTTTTTAGAAAGTTGCCCTGAGCTTTCAAGTAAAAAAACTACAAAAAAAAAAAAAAAAAAAACCAACTACCTTAACCCCTTCTCTTATTGAAGAGACAACTGAAGCCCAGAGAGAAGCAATGACTTGCCTCATATCACACATCTCATTAGTAAAATTATTGAGGCTATACCCCTGGTCTCCAGCATACTTTCCTTGGTATATCTTACTGGTCATGGAGGGCACAGAATGTCCTAGGACCTAGTTAGTATTTCCTGACAATAATCAGAAATTGTCACAACTGCTAAGATAAAGAGAAAACGCAGGAATTGAGATAAAACATAGCACCTTAAAAGAGAGGTAAAGAACTGCAAGGCCAAGATTAAGGTGAGGATTTAGGGGGTCTATCAGTTTGACCCCTACTTTGTCACTGTGTCTGTGGGCAGAATATCCATTTACTTTGCCCCTGTTCTCAGAATGTAAAAGCAGAAAGAAAAATATTATCGAATGCCACTGGAGTGTTTTCAAGAAAAGTCAATAAAAATGATTACTAGAGCAATATAAAAGTGCTCTATAAAAGCTTAATAATCAACAGTATTTAAGCAGCGTGCTACTGAGTAGCTGACAGGGTGCTCCTGTTTTATAGATAGCATTTATGGACTTTCACAACCCAAATTTTCACTCTTTATGAGTTGTGTGTAAATTTGGGAAGTGGTTGAAACCACATATCAAATCAAATCTTCTGAGGCACCGTGTCAAATAAGTGTAAATATTCTTGGTTGATCTCACAGGTAACACAGAGTGTGGTGGAAGTGGGTCTATCCTCTGGAGAGCTAAGAATATTATGGATGGTTATCTTGGGCCTTTGGAACATTTTGTTCTGGGGAAAGTAAAGAATTTCTCCAACTCCAAAAATGTGGGTTGGGTATTTCATTTTTTTTACACATAATTATCTTTCCAGAAACTATAAAATTTGCATTATTCTTTTGCTAATAATTTGGCTATAGAGGCACACATTACATAAAACCTGTTTAGCATGTAGCAAACTGCACGAAGCACTGTCTCATCCATATTTTGTCCCACAGTATATTGGCATATAAAGATACTCCACATCTTTTTGTAGAATTTAACTGAGTTGAGATTATTACTGTGATAGTTTTCAGAACTGCTCCCTGAATTTCATCCCACGCCTACTACCATATCAGAACTCCTTAAGATCAGCGACCATAACTAATGCATTTTTGTGACGCTAATGCCTAGCATGGTAGAAAGTTAATATAAATGAAAGGGAAAAAGGAAAGAACAAAGGGAGAGAGGAAGAGAGGTAGAAAGACACTGAGTTTCTATTCAGAGGAATGAGGAATAGAACTCCTCTCTTTCCTGGATCATTATTGATGGCCTCAGTTAGAAAAGGGTAAAGAGACCACGAAAATAAAATGCAGCCAGAATCAACATACAGAAAATCTAGGATAACCCAGTTACACTTTCTACTAGTGCCAGTCAAGTACCCTGTGATAGCCACCCAGTCAACATCTCTGATTTCTAGCCTCCTGGATGTGTTCCCTTGGTAATACGACATCACTGAATATAGCCAGAGCAGAAATTTTGGAGTCCTCTACTGGGGAAAGTCCGTGGGTTACCATGGAGAAGAATAGACATAGCAGAGAATTCTTTCACCATGAGTCCAGTGAGCACAGCGATACTATCCAGAAGGAGACACCAAAGACATTATCATTCAAAGAGGCTTGAAAGTCCTCTCCTCATGGCTGAAAGGAGGCAGTACCCTAAAGATACCACAAACACTTCTCCTTCTATAAAGGAATCATCATCAGAAATGCCCGGGAGATTTTTGGCCATAGACATATGCAGAGATGTGCAAACAGAGTGGCAAAGCAGAGACAGGAGGATATAGTTGGAGGATTAAAAAAAAAATGAAAAAAAAAAAAATCCAAATGTCCTAATGCAAGTGGCACCCACCTGTAATAAACCCACTAATAGTAAAGGAAGTAAAATAAAGAAAACATTTATAATTTAGAAAGAATTCCCGTTTGTATTAAAGTAGTGATCAGAATGGTCCAAAATTCTGACCCTCTTACTGACAGCAATTTTTGTCTTGAATCTCTCTTTTGGCTTGTTCTGTCCCACAACACTACTCCACCGTATCAGACTGTCTCTCTACACTCCTCAAGGCAGTCACAGAATCCTAAAGCCACCCAGGGTAGCCGTCCATTCCCAAACAGTAGTGCTCAACTGGGAATATTGTTCTTTTAACCTGGATTAGAACGAAATCCAATACGAGATAGATGAAAAGGTAGTACAGGGCCCATGGGAATTTGGGCTTGATATGCTGTGATAGATCTCCTTGTCACCTGTAGCTTCTGTGATTCCATAAGACTCATCATATTTGGGTAATTTGTGCTTGTCACCTACAGCAGGCAAGGCTAATAGATGCATCGGTCCAGAAAGAAGCTATAGGCAGCATTTCAAGATCTAACCAAGAGGACAATACCTACCCAAAGCTCAGAAACAATGTAAAATAAATTGCCCTTTGTGATTACCTTCAAGATGAACTTCATTTATACTTTTCAATTACCTTTCAATGTACATATTAAACTCAGACTAACTGAGGCATTTTTTTAGTCAGAAATGTAAGATTTAGGACAGAGCATGATCCCTATTTACTTTTACTGACCAGACACATTTTTAATTAAATAAGTGAAGGGAGTAAGCAAGGCTGCATGAAGAACATATGAATGAGTAAACAAATTATTACCTATAAATTGAATCTGTCCAGTTTTCATTCATTCATCACTTGACATTTATTGAGCATGTACTACATAAAATATTTCATTGATTCATTTGAATTATCATAACTTGAAAAATAATAAAACTGAATTTCCTTTAAAATATATTATTTTTAGACTTTCCATTGATTCGAGCAGTCTTCCTTTCTATTAGTCCAAATCATGAGCATATACCTAAAATCACATTACGTCTTTCTGTCTCTACTTACAGTTTCAGAAAGCCCAGTTTAAAAATATGATCTGAGTAATGTCAAATATTTTCTATATTTAAAATCATGATTAATTTCTAAGATTTATGAAAATTACCAATAGGTAGTCGGTCATATGCAAAGCGATTTCTAGCCATTGTATCTAAGGCTGGAACTTTAACCTAAGGAAGAGTAGTTAACAAGGTTTGTTTTGCTGAGTAAAGTAAAACCAAAACCATTCTTATCACACGCCTTACCTTTTCCAGGGAAATATTCCCATCTTCTTAACCTCAAGGTCTGGCCCCTGGGGCAGGTATATAGTTAGAATAAAGATTTAAGATAAGCCACTGGTAGAAAGAGGTGTGTGCTTTATCTGAAGCTAGATAATGCTAATAACAATAATAGTTAATATAATCTGGCTGTTCACTCACAGAATTTGGGGGGTAAAATGAAAGAAGTAGACCAGAAAATATCTAGAATAATCTTCCACCATCCTGCAGTATCTAATGTGGAGAGACGGATATCATGGCAAATATCCAATAATTACTTTCTCAATCTAATGGTCAGATAGCAAGGCATTTCCCAGAGCATCCTCATGGAGTAGGTGTTTTCCCAAGGGCACAGTGTGGTCCAGTCCAAATTTGGGTCCTTGGACACATAGCGGGTTAAATCACTAAATTCTAAAGGAGTAAACCCAATCTTTCCAACTGGCACAGAAGCAACTTTATCTTTAATGTTTGGGGCTAATATTCATGGATCACACTAGGCTAGGGAAAGACCTTGGAGACCGTTGGCCTCCTTCACCGCTATGGATGGGTTGGGGTGGAGGGTCAGATCTAGTGCTGAGGGGTGAAGTTCCCTTAAATTTATCTTGTACTGTGAATGCTCTATTCCAATTCTGCGCAGGCTCTTTGGGCAATAATAGTGAAAACATTCCAGGTTAGAGCTCCAAACCAAAGAGAATCTAGTAACTTTTTAAAATCACAGTCAACCCTCCTCAATTATGTATGTGTATGGTAGATAGTAGTGTCTTTGATAATAAAATGATAATTTATGTTTGACTTCACGACATGTTCTATATTTGGGGTTTTTCTTTTGTTTTTGGCAACATCAACAGACTTATTTTCCTGATTAGTCTGACCCCGATTAATGTTACAATTAACATTCTCTGAGCGTACATACACATACGCACACTGCTCACCAACTGACGGGGGAGAACGCCCAGAAACATATTGTGGGATAGGGAAAGGTGGTCTGAGAGTATGTTTTAGCTGCTGGCAATTCACAAACTACATCATCTGAATCAATAGGGAGTTGGCTGCATTTACACCAGGCACTTCCCAGAGCTAAATAATCACATTAGCTAATTCCCATCCATAAAATATATGTAGCCTCAGTAATTACTTATTAAACTAAGTCTATCCAGCACACAGAATATTTTCTTCAACCAGGATTACCTAGTTTTACTCTTTATGCCAATCCAGTTAACAAGGTAATTGTCAGACCTGTCTAGTACCGGCTGCTACACAAACCTGCCCAAGTTCTCTCTCAGGCTTGGAGATATTTGGGAACGTAGTGGCCAGAGTTAGCTCTCAGCCCTGCCACTTTGGGGAATTCAGCGCAGCTTCCCTTGATTTCCTGAATACACCTTCTAGAAATGTCCCCTCTCCCTTGAACGCACGGGGGGGGGGGCCTGACCTTCCAAAGAGGCCCCCAAGTACAGGTGGCCTGGCCCCCCATGGCGTCTGACCCTGGAGGTCGCTCACCTATCTTCTCCGCTTGGCTGCTCTCCGCAGTCTCCGATGGAGGCTGGGCTGTTGCCTTGGCAGCAGCATCCTCTGCAGCAGGGGTGGTGGCGGCAGCAGCAGCAGTGACAGCAGCAGGCACGTCGGCTTGTTTAGGCTCCTCCTTGGCTGGCGCGTCTTCGGCCTTGGAGGACGGCGAGTTGTCAGTGGAAGCTTTAGTGGCACTTTCTGTCTCAGCAGAGCCGGCCTTCTCCTCCGAGGGGGCAGGAGCCTGGGGCGCTGCCTGCTCTGTGGCAGCCTCGGGGGCGCCCTCCCCCTCCTTCTCCTCGGAAGGAGTTTCGCCCGCTTTGCCGGTCTCTTCCGGCTTGGGGCCGGCGGCTGGGGCCGCTTCAGCGGGAGTGGAACCTTCTCCCTCCTTCTGCGCACCATCAGCGACGGGGGCTTCATCCTTCTCATTCGCCTCCGCCTCGGCGGCTGGGGCATCACCCTTCTTCTCTCCTTTGAGCTTTTTCCTCGTTATGTGTCCACGGAAGCTAGCCTGAATTTTGGTCGCGGCCTTATGAGCTTTATCTTCTGGTTTGATGCCATCTTGTTCAATCTTTTGGTCCTCATCATTTTTTTCAACCTTTGTGGAGAAAAGGGGGGGAAAAAGGAGAGATGGAGCAATGTTCTTTTCCTTCAAATCACAGCATTCAATAAACGCATATTGAATGACTTATCCTGTGCCAGGCACCATCCTTGAAGTTAAGAAATCAGCTATACCCTGGAAATTCAAACCAAGCCCCCTCTCTTTCTGGTGAAGAATTTAGGAGAGAACACATTAGTTTCTGGGAAAATTAATGTCCTTCCGGCCTTCCAGAATCACTGGCATTATTTTATATGTCTTTCTTTCCCCAACTCAATGTCTCTCCTTTGCCAAACTTAAATCAGCCTTTTTGTGGATGTACTTTGACAACTCAAGTCCACCCGGCCTAGGTTTTCACCAGTGACCTCTGAAAGATATTGGTTTTTCAGGCTTTCTGAGAGGGTCTCTGTGAAAAACTTAGGATTTAAAAAAAGATTGTGGAAAAGCCTATTTGTTTCCCCAAGATTTCAGGTCTCATCAGGAAACCAGTAGGTTTGGGGCAAAGAATATGGTTCAGGTTTAAACAGCAAATTCCATCAGGGTCTGTGCAAAATGCACAAGATGAGTTCCAGGGCTTTGAGGGGTTTGTTCAGGATGTGACAACTCAGAACGCTGGTCACAAAATGACGTCTGCTTTCCTCTGTGTGTGGTCCAACATCAGTAATGAACATACCAGACCTTCACAATTTGAATTCAGAAAATGGTCATTATTCCTGAGTTTTAAAAAAAAGAGTGGAAAACACTGCTTCCGCTTTTGAAAGAGTGGCATATATTCACTAAATCACAATTTCTTATTCCCAAAGCAATTTAAACTTAAAATTAGTTTTATATTATCATCAACAGAGCCATCCTAGCACTGAAGGCAAGAGACTAGAATACAAAATTTTTACCATTTGATCATGTTACAACGTAACATAGGCTGCAAATAACTTTTTTCCACATGGAAATTAAATCACAGGATAGGAATAGAAGGTATAGTCATGAAAAGAAATGCCTAGGCAAGTACTCAGAATTCTATATAGCTCCGCTGCCCACTATGGTGCCCCAGTGTGGTCACTTATAGTCCCCATATAGCCATTATATTAGTTTCAGGTATACAACACAGCAATTCAACATTTGTATATATTGCAACAATAAGTCTGGTTAACTTCTGAGAACACTGTCTTAGCAATAGGGGAATACAGCAGTGAACAATGCAGCAAAAGAACAATAATTAAAGAATGCTTATCATGTACCAAGTCCTCTGCTTGGCCCCAGTCTCGACCTTGGCCTGACCTTGGCTTTTGCTCCAGTTTAGGATGCAAATCACAGCAGGCCAACACAAGTCATGCTTTCCACCTGTCATACAAGCTCTGCCCAAGGGACCCAGATCCCGTTCATCATGATGTAGACCTGTCTGACATTCTTTGGACAAGCATATGGGCCTGTATTTCTTAGGTCCATCAACATGCTAGTGAGTATACAAAGGTATTTTTGAAAACAAGCTGCATGTGAGAGTAAAAGCAGGATTAATAAATTTCCAGTAAAACTCAAGGCAAGTTTCTCTTCTTCCTCAGTTAACGGTGTATGTATCCATACAAAAAATGAAGGAGTGCATGAAAGCACTTTGGAAGGGCCCATTCTGCTGCCTCTTCCCAGTGCCATGCTGCCACACTGCTCAGTACTCTGATGCACTACCACCTTCCCGCTCTCCTACTGCTCTTGATGACTCCTACTGGGATGCACACAACACGATCTGGGGCACGGGAGCAGCTGTCCCTGCCAGGAGCTCTCTTCTCAGAGATGGAAGCATAACCCTGTTAAATTAATAGTTGTGAATGGAGCATGCAGCCAAGATGTTGTTAATTTATTTTACTCTATCTTGCATTTTCTGAATGAGGCACCATCTTATATGATAGGACATCTGCACTTGGGCCTTGATGCGCAGTGGTTCTTTAATACAAATACTGCTCCTTGTGAAGGTAAACAAATCAATTCTTTCAGAGTAGGCAAGTGGACAGAAAAAGCCCTCTGGTGACTCAAGAAAGCTACATCACCCTTTTCTCTTTAAGAACACAGAGAAAAGGAGATGAAACTTAAAACACTAGAAAACATAAAAAGAAGGAAGCCAAGAGTCTGAATGACATAAAGAAGATACTTTACAAGGGTAAAGGAAGAGCCCCTCTAAGTTCTTTACACCCCCATCTCCAATCTCTCTCTCTCTCTCTCTCTCTCTCTCGCTCTCTCTCGCTCTCTCTCGCTCATTTCTCAGATCATCTGCCACTGTAACTTTCCACATGATCAGAACTTAAGCTTCTGTGCACAGCCTCTATGTTGAAATGACTATTTAGAAAGGCTCAGACTAGACTTGGGTGCCAAGATTGTGGGATCAGTCTCACCTGAAAAATCCAAGAGTATAAGGTACACAAGACAGAAAGGTGTGGGCAGGAAGGGAGAGAATGTGAAAAACCATAGTTAGGAGAGAAGTGAGACAATCCTGCAAGAGCTGGATACCCAAGTAGGTGGTCAAAGTACCCCACAGGCATGCAGCTTCTCCAGGAGGAATTGCTGGGCCACTTAATATTATTAGAGATTTAGGGGAACTGGAGTTTAGAAATTGGTTGGAAATAGACAACTAATACAAATTGTACAGATAGTCAGAGGGAAAGA